GCTGTTGATCAAATAAAAATCTGAATTTTTTCTTGTAAAAGCACTGCTTTGCTTCGCTTTAGAGAAGCCTAACCTGAACAGTCCATCATCATGACTGGATTTTAACCACAGACACGCTAAACTAAAGCAGCAGACCACACCAACGCAGCAGGAAGTGGTAATGGTAAATTTATTAAACATCAGCAGCTTTTATTAACAGACGGAAAAGAAGTCCCGGCCTTCAACAACCATTTGTAAAATCATACAACATGCCCATCTGAGTTACAGTAAACGGTGCTGAGAAAGTTTGGGTGCAGAGTCTCAGAATTATGTACAAATACCTGGATAAAGAAGTCAAATCCACGAACAAACTGGACAAAGTTTCTGCAATATCTCCACACTGTTACTTTAATTAGCTTTTATATCGACTTATTTTTGTCCTTTTGTATTTTAATAAACCACACAGGAAAACTCACAAAGATAGAGGTCTATAAAATGTTTAGCACGAGCGCACAGAGGTGGATTTTTTTAAAGTTTTTATAAGTTCATTTATTGATGGCCTGCTTAAAGGCACTGCCACAATACAGGGGGAAGCTACTGTCCATCACTCACGAGACAGTCCATTCTAATGGCTAGAATATATGGGTAGTGGTGATTAAGGAGGGAGCCGCTATAGGTAAATCTCATAGAAATCATCTAGTTCCTCATGAAACAAGTCCCATTCGTCCTCTGAATCCGTCACTTCGTCGTCGGTTCCTGCTGCGAGCAGCATGAGAAGCATTTCACTCAGCTCGAACGTCACCATCTCCTCATCGTCGTTGTCAAAGGAGTCTGCGCTCTCATCGAAGATGTCCCACAGTGGCGTCCGCCTCGAGTTCTAAGAAACGGAACAGTTATTACGACGCGTCATCAGGCTGGTAGAAGAAAGTAAAATGTGAGGCATTACCCGGTTCCTGTTGTTGGAGCCAGTCTGTCTTCTCTGGGGCTGAGCTTCCTCTAGACGTCCATCAGGGAAGGCGTGTTTGTAGAAGCAGTTGGAGCCGAAAGGACAAGTTCCACGGCCCTCATCAAAATATCGACATGGTTTACTCCTGGAGGCAAGAAAATAAAGATGGCCACT